GTGGAGCTTCTGTACCTTCTGTCCCGGCTGCGCGACCGGTGTGAGCGGTTGCTCCTCCCTTTGTCCCTCTCCGCGCTTCGACTCCTCCTCTTGCGAGATGAACTGTGCGACGAGCTGCTGCTGGAACGCCTTCGTCTCCTAATGTCGAAGAAACAAAAAAAACATCTTCACAGTCCCGCTGAGTTTTAGAGGCAGTACAGAATAAATGCTGCTGCTCTTAGAATTTCAAGAGCAAAAAAAGCCTGTGGCCACCTAACCTGTTGAGCAGCACAGACAGCCCGTTTGCACTGAACTGCCACCCAAAGCTGCAACACATGCAGGTCACCCTACAGTTCCTGAATAAAGCCTCCCCGGCTGCTCTTTTTGTGGCTACGGCTGTGTGTGAAGCATGTGTTTTCAAAAAAACAAAAAAAACAAACACGCTGTTGTTCCTACTGATATCATGAATCAGGAGGCATTTACGGGGTTCAGGGTAAATGCAGACAACCTCCTCCTCCACGGCACACTTTGTGCAACATCCATTATTTAAAATCTGTTCTTTTGTTTCACCAAAGCCCAAAATAACTAGATCTTTTCAGCAAGCCCTAAAAGAGAAAAACAAAAAAAACACACAGTCCTATGGGAGACCGACAAGACGGAGGAGGTGAAAAGAAAAAGGCAAGCAGTACAAATAACACAGAGGCTGAACTATCAAACAAGATTTGTACCACTTAGAGCAGCGCAGCAAAGATCCATTAGTATTCTAAAGGATGGATCCCGAGAGCGGGGCCTTATGAAATAACTTCCACAGCCGCGCTGCACAACCACTTCACACACTACACAGACCCAACACACACTTGCGAGCAGAGGGTTTTTGGAAGGTAGTGTTAGCTCGCACTTTCCCAAATCCGCTTGCACAAACATTACGAAAATAAATTGCAAAAACAAATGAGAGCAGAAAAGTAATCGTTAGGACAGAAGCTTCGAGAAAGAATACAATTAATGCTGAAAAAAATAGTTCCATCTCTGTCATTCATTCTTAACCACTTTTTATCATCTTGCTCATATTATTTTTAATCTCATATTCACAGCAAAGGTTACAATTACTCTCCTTACATATACAAGTTAATGATGTGGTCATGATGTCACCCACCCAGAACACAAGCACTCCTCTGTTTTACCGCATGTGAGGTCACTTTACACCGCTTGTGTCTATGCAGAGTGAAAGTGCTGCAAAACATGTGCTCTCCTTCGTGCAAGTCTATTTAAAGGAGCTGGTTTCAGCCGACCCGCACACACAAGGTCTCAGTTAATTGATCAAAATGTACAGCTAATAGATGAGGGACTGTGGTCTCAGGGTTTACCCTGCCCGCCCAGCCCCGTTCTGTGCAGGCAAGCAATGACTTCCCATCAGCAGTAATGGGCCTTGACCAAGTCTCATAAATAATTACCATCAACTGGCCTTGTCTGAGGAGCCACACACAGCCAGTGGCAGCTATGGATGGATGGATGGATACCAGGTAAAGTAACAGGCACCTCCCTGTGAACACCACCTTACAAAATTGGTGTTCACTTTCGGCTCTTTATATCTAAGGTAATTCAAGTTGTGCCAGATTGCAAACTATGCACTGGATTAAAAAAAAATCTAATCTATGATTAAATCTTGATATAATGCTAACCATATTCTCCTCTGGATCTGTAATGACCAAAGAAATGAGTTTTGAGACCATTTTTTAGAATTTTTTAATTTTACATCCCCGCCCATCACACCTATCCAGCCTCCACCTTACCCCCTCCCCCATTGGTCTTGAACCCAAAAGAATATTTTCATAGAAACATACAACAAAGCCAGTGTTGTGTTCTACAAATGAGCTTTGACCAAGTAAAACAATTTGGTTACTCTCCTGCACTCACATCTTTAAAATTATAATTTTGTCACACATAATCACTCTAAAGTAATGTACACATTAGCAGATGTTACATTGTAATAACCCTGCTTTTTTTTAGACAGGTGTTAAACAGATGAAGTACTTATAAGATCATCTTTCTATGCCTTCTGATTCAGATGGTACAAAGGTGAGATCTCACCTACATGAATCTAAAACTACGAAATAGAGCCTCTGATTTCTGAGCATTTAAAATATGAATTCAGTAGAAGATGATAAACATCCAGGTCATAAGTGCAGTGTGAATATAATGGCTTGTGGATGAACCTGAACTCCAACATCAGCAGCAGGACTTCCAGCTGCTCTTACTCTTGGGGAGGGGGGGGGGGGGGCTCACCTCTTGTCTCTGGAGCGAGAACGGCTCCGGCGAGTGGACCTCCGACTCCGGCTGCTCCTCACCCTGCTACCGGAGGAAGACGATGACGAAGAGGAAGAGGAGGAGGATCGGCGCCGCTGTTTTTTCTTCCTCCTGCTCCGACTGTCCTCCTCACTGTCAGACGACCGCCGGCCCATGCTGGTCAAATCTCAACTGGCAGGACACACAGGATCGTGGATGCTCATTAACGTCCACACCTGTCGACCTTTGGCAATCACGTGAACCCCACTACTGGGACCCGGATAACTGATGTAAACTCGGCCCACCACAGCTATTTTTCAAATGACTGAATGCTTTTTCTGCACATTGTTTACATGTGTTGTTCCAGCAAACCTTTCAGCTGTATCTACCCCAACCAGCCACAAAACTAAACCCTCCACAAGCAAGGCTGTGTGCGTGTCAAATGGTCGTGACAGTGGGCACATTTCTGGACATACGTGTAGGACGTTTGAATACATGAGACAGATAAACAAATGGGTTTTATCATGTAGCTAGCTAAAAGGCTAACCGTGCTAATTCAAGTCGCGTTAACGTGTAGTCCCACACGTTCCTCGAACTAACCGAAGACTTTCCACTGCTCGGTAGTCAACCTTCGTCTCGTTTGGGACAGCACAGACTACCTTAAAGGCTACTTGGCGAATACGAGACGCTACCTTTCCAACGCCTGTCCCGCTCTTCACCTTTAAACCATCGTAGGCTTCACAACTCAGCCATGCTCTGCTTATGAGACTCTACTCGTCGAGCCAGGAAAGATCGATGGCTCCAGGAGCCGAAATCACACACAGAGCCATCGATGGAGACGCGGATCCCGTAACAGTTTTGAGTTACTTTTATTAAGAATTTTTAAAAGACACTTTTAAATGGCAAACTTTATGTTGACACCTTTGAATAAAAATATATGATAGAATGCAAATAAATCTTTTTGAAAGGTTTGAAGGTGTTAGGTCGCTATATGAATAAGTGATGTTTGATCCACAGAAGTCAGTTTCAGCATCAGAATTCTTCATATTCTGTCATAACAATAAGAATGTGTCATTTAATGGTGCAGAAAGATAGACTAAAAAAACATACATATTTAAATTAACAGATACAATTAACAGTACAATTAGATATAGGCCTATAGGCTATATTGCGCATAAAACACCTGTTTTTTTCATGTCATTTTATATGTACGTAGTCTAAACTATAAATATCTTACATAAGAATATTATATTATTTGCAAGAGATAATCTGTTCAGATAATGCGAAGCCTATAAAGAGAGCTGCAAGGGCAGACACAGCACCCCAGCGGTTTCCAGCAAACCAGAAAAATCAATTAACCATCCTCTGGAAGTCCAAAACATTTCTGGAGTGAGGGTGAAACGACATAGATGGCTGATAAGACACAACATAATGAGAACATTCACAGCAAACAGATAAAAGAGACTATTTGACACTCCGGTTGAATCCATCCTTCTTTCAGATGCGGCTGAATTAATAGTAATAAATGCCTACGGTTTAAGCTGAAACACCGTTAATAATTAATTAGGTGGATTGTTAGAGCTCCTGTGTGGAAATGGGGCTTTATATAGATTATCAATAAACATGCTTAATTTTGCATTAAATTCACCCCGTCGTTTACTAAATCTCGCTGTATCTTGTTACTTGTCCGGTTATATGTTGCTTTCTCATGTCGCCTAATTGCCCATCGCACCTTCACCGCAGAGTGCCTGTTGTTTATTTATTTTTTCTCAGATATAGGCACTCATTTCAGCGGGGGAGAAAAAAAAACAACAACGAGCTGAAAACTTTAATTAGGGAGCCCAATGGCAACGCATCGCGAGAGGCGCCATAATTAAGCGTTTAGCTGCTATTTAACATCATAATGGTTTAAAAACTCCACTGAGGATTAATATTAAGAGATGTGATGATTCCGCAAAAACACATACATCCTGATTAGAAGCCTAGAAAAAAATGGCTCATCCGTCCCCAGTAACTTTGTGGATTCAAGCATTTAACTTAATTGGAATAATAATAGTGATAATAAAAGGCATGATCTAATTTTTTCATTTTACCACAATGACATTTTTTCTCATAACATTTTTCCCTGTATTTCCGTTTTTAATTTAATATTTCAAATGACAGACCCAAAGGAAAAGCAAAAACAAAAAACAACAAACGTTAAAAAAAAACATAAAAACACGGGAGGCCTGAGGCCAATTCTGCAACCAAATGCGTTCTCTTGAACTTGATCTGAAGCTCCTTCTCGAAGTCGATGCTGCCCCTCTCGGCGTCCCACCTGGTCCGCTTTCACCTCTTTTCTCCTCTGTCATCGTTGCCTCTTTTTTTTCTCCCTCCTCTACCCCAGATCACAGAGATATACTGAGGAATGACTCCTCGTCCATGTGCTTCCCTCTCTTGTCATTTTCAGTTTTTTTTTTAAGCCACACCCCTGCAGAGAGAGAGAGAAAGAGAGAGACTGAGAGGCAGAGACGAAGTGAGATCCATGACCATCTCCCGGGTGTTTAAAAAACTAACTCAGGACAATAACAGCGAATGAGCGCTTAATTCAATTAATTAGTCCTTCTTGTCAATCTTGGATTAATGGCCAATAGCGTCGGTGCTGCTTAGTAGTTTATTTATTTATTTTTTGTACTTCTCGTCCGTCTCTCTCTCTCTCCCTCTCTCTCTCCCTCTCTCTCCCATATCAGTGAAGGGGAAGGGAGGCTCATCCCGGCATCCTGAGGGGAGGTAATTTGCACGGATCAAGGGGGCAAGGCGCCGCAAAGTATAAATACTGTGACTTCAATAGAGGATCACCAGCAGGTTCCCAACTCCGCAACCAAAGAGGAGGAATTGGCTGAGAAGATACATCTTCTTCCATTTTTCACCTTGGTTGGCCGCATCACCTTGTCTCATTTTCAAGGGGTCGAATTTGAAACGAGCCACACCATTGATGTCTTAAGCTGTCGTGGAGCTAAGGGAGAGAGTGCGTGTGCACGTGTGAATGAGTGTGTGGTGTGTGTGATTTTTTTTTATTTTTTTTTTACCCCGAGAGGAGAGGAAGGAGTGATGGAAGAGCTCACCGCTTTCGTGTCTAAGTCTTTCGATCAGAAAGTGAAGGAGAAGAAGGAAGTGATAACCTACAGAGAGGTGCTGGAGACCGGGGCGACGCGAGCAGGGAGCCGGGAGTCTTTATCCTCCGAGCCCGGGAGCCGAGAGGAGGCGGCCGCCGTGAACCGGAACGTTGCGCTCTCGCCGGGCAGGGAAACGGACATGCTCGGCCCGGAGAGGATCAGGGACGGCGGGAGCCCCAAACTCATAGACGGTAGGAGCCCGGTGTATTGAGTCCGCAGCGCGCTGCGCCTTTACGCAGGAGTGTGAGGACTGGGAGAGGAGCAGGGGGGAAAGAGATGCACCCAGGTCTCCAGTTTGTGAAATCTGATCTCAGCCTGTTGGTATTATATTTTTGTACCCCTGATCCTGTATAATCTTGCGGGGTTTTAGCTGACCAATATTAGCCTCACCTTTGCACGGTATAGTTACAGAGTTGTGTCTGTCTGAGAGAGGGAGATACAGAGAGATTTGGGATGCATCTTTACTTGTTTTTATTCCGTTGTCTTGAGACGTCACCGTGAGATTTAGAGGCCGGTTTATAGTTGACTGTTTTTTTCTTATTATTTTTTTTGTTTTTAAATTAATGCAATGTATGCGTTATTGTACATTTTAAACCAAAGTTTCACATTACAGTCACAGAGAAAGACAACAGGCCAACATGTGATTCTCACCAAAGACCTCCAGCAAAATCAACAGATTTTCCTTATAACAGGACTCAAATTATTTTTCTGTAAAATATCACAGAACATTACTGCATGCTGCTTTTGGCTTCTCCAAAGTGGCGTGAAAACAACAGGACAGTTTATTTTTTATCTGATTAGAAATCTGTTTATATTAGCCGACATAATGAATAATAGATCATTGAAACTTCCTTTGGGGATCTTTTATCTGTGATTTATTTATATTTTATCAGTCGTGTTTCAGGAAGAAGCACCTTTTTCAGGAAAACTACTCGAATCCAAACCTGTAGTTTAATAAATATAACAGATCTTTTTAGAAGTAAAATCTCACCAAATGCTAAAGCTCGTATAATAAAGTGGAATATTATCGCTTGAATAGGAATTAGAGCAATTTAATATCTGTTTACATGCATGATTTTAGAAATAATGTATAAATGTAGCACCATTTCTACATTGTATAAATACATAAAACGAAGAGCAAAACATTTTATCAAGAAAGCAGGGAGCTGATTATTTTGATTCTGAATAAACATCTCAAATAGAGAAATTCCTAGAATTTATGTGACTTTTTAAGACCAAATTTCGCCTCTTCTCTGTTTCCTGGACAAAATGTGACAACTCGCTGAACAGTAATGTCTTAAGAGTTTGTTGGCTTGTAAAAGTGACATCTGTTCGTCAAGGGCAGCGTGGTTAAAAGCGGAACAGTGACAAGCGTGTATCAGACATCCAACAGTGGGCACCGCGTTGCATATTTATAAGCAGTTAATAATTAAAGAGCTTTATGTAGCTCTACAAAACATCCGACGTCTGATGGCTCTGTGATATTAGAGGGCACGTCTTTCTTTCTTTTTTTCTTTCTTTTTATGCTTTTTTCTCTGAAAAAAACGACTTATTTTTCTCGGGCTTTGAAAACACATTTTCACCAGATCAGCGTCGTTTAGACACTGACACTGAGGTTCCAATGCCCGTCAGCTGGCTTTATTTATTAGATTATATTTTTAAAAAACGTTTTGGACAATATTCCATGAATGTAAGACAGAGGCCAGTGACCAACACCGGTTTGTGGGTTCAGTGCGCATGAGGTTGATGTTTCCTTTCCTTCTCGTCTGCCAACACAGGCACCACGGACGTGAAAGAGAGGAAAGAGGACTCCAAGCCTATAGAGGACGAGACGCAAACGAAAATCAAGCAGAGGAGAAGTCGGACTAACTTCACGTTAGAGCAGCTCAATGAGCTGGAGCGGCTCTTCGACGAGACCCACTACCCGGACGCCTTCATGCGGGAGGAGCTCAGCCAGCGTCTGGGGCTGTCGGAGGCTCGAGTTCAGGTAGGGAGAGTCAGCCTTCACCAAAAACAAAAGAAAACTGTCATAATAATGTTTGAAAAATTCTAAAATATCCGGCAAACACAGATCATAATATTGCCACCATGGAGGTCTGACTCAGTTACATTTCTAACAGACACTATGAGCAAAAACAGCAGACTCTGTAAAGGTTTATCTTGTTTGTCTTCTATCCTGATGGATTTCCATTTATTCTTTTTATTCAATATGTGCAGAGGCACAGCCTTTAAGTCTAAAGGTGTGTATTTGTGAGTCTGTTCAGCCTCAGAGGTGTTTACAGGTTCTAACGAGTTAAACAGTCCACGAGGATATGCAAACACACATCACCAACACGTTATTTCTCCACGCTTCTCTGGGATTCGATTGTCTCTCAGTTAGGGTGTTTTTGGTTGTTCATTTTGCGCGTTAATTGTCTCACTATAGTCCCTGCTTGTATGGTGGCTGTGTTTTAATCTGCATTATCAAAATGCACCCAAACAAATAAGCCTGCAGAATTTCTGTCTTCGGTTCATGGTGAATGTTACCAGGGCCCTGTTTGTCAATGCTGCTGTATTTTTCTTTTTTCCTTGGGGATAGACCATCTGTGCAGAAACCCAGTCCGAGCAGTGGGAGATGAAAGGTGGGGGCTCAGACATGAGGGGGAACAATGAACATATAGAAAACTCTATTCATCTGCTCGAATGAAAACCTTATAACATCTTATTTCTCTTTATCCCTTATGTCCTGACTCAGGGGGTTACTGAGTATTTGTCTCCATATTGTATGTTCTGCTCGGTCTGAAAAAAAGAGTGACCACAAAACGGGCCCAAAGCAGATCTCCATCATGAATTCACCCTCCAGCCCCCCCAGTAAAAGAAAAAAAAAAGTTAAAACTGGCTTTTAGCAGGGCTCCCGAAGCCTGAACTGGAATCTCACCAATAAGGCGTATTGTGCCCCGAACAAGGAGCACAGCTCAAGGATTTGCATAAATTATGTATTATTTTCGGGCCAAATCAAGACAAGCTCTCCCTCCAGCTTTTATCTCCACTGGAGTGTTATATCTTTTTACCAGTTGCGTGTGCGGACCGCACACTTCTCCAGACTCGTTTTTAAATTCCACCTCAATCAATAACTGCACTGCATTTGCTTTTATCAGCGCCATAAATTATACCTGAAGCGTGCGCAAAAGGACTTCCGAGTGACATACACCGTGATCAATAAATGAAGCCAGCTGACAGGCGAATCGATATGATATTTCAATCATGCTTTCACGGTGCGTTTACGGCCCCTAATGTAAGGGAGATCGCTGATTGACACGTTGCATTGTGGGCTAATTTCGCCGCAGCTTTGTCTGGGAGATTCAAAGAAGATTATCATAGCAATAAATCGGTTAATCTGTGTTCCAAGGCGTTTCTCTGAAATTGACGCTTGTCGATTTCAACAGAAGGTAAAGAGAAACGAGAGCTGCCTTTTGAAGCCAGTTTTTTTTTAACCGCCCCTCCTCTCTTTGCCTTTTTTGTGAAAGTAAGTGTTCTGGTGGTGATTAGAGAAAACTGCGAGGCGTTTTAGCGTCCCTCTGCCATGGATTTTGCGCAGATAAGGGTAATTAATTTCGGCGGTCATTTAATGAGTGTGAGGCGGAAAGAGAAAGAAGGGACATGCTCTCAGATCGCTTTGCTCTGATGTCCAAAACCGTAATAGCATTTCTGCAATTCGATATCCGAGAGTCCATTCAAGCCTTCGGGGACACTCATCTATAGAAAGATGAAACCAGCGCTGACAAGGTTATTTATTGTAGCCCAATAGTCCTGCGCATTCCCAACAAGAGTGCTCCTATTCTGTACTAATATGAGTTCAACATCGGATTTCCTACAATCCCTTTGCCCCCCCCCCCCCCCACCCCCCCTCGCTGTTTCCCTTTCTCGTCTCTCCTCTCCAACCCCCCGCTCTTTTTTGTTGTAGACTAAATGTAATAATTAAAATCTGGGGTTAAGCAGTGTCATTAATTTTTCAGGGCTCCGCAGGGATATTGTTTTTCTGTGGTTGTTGTCACTTTGAGAGGAATTACACATGGCCTCACAAGCAGCTGCCAATCAGTGGCTCTCTAATTAATTTCTGTCCCTGCAGGTTTGGTTCCAGAATAGAAGAGCCAAATGCAGAAAGCAGGAAAACCAGTTACATAAAGGTGAGGCAGCATCCTTCATGCTTTCACAAATGCAAATGCCTATTCGATCCTTTTCTTTTCCTACTTATTCTCAAATGCATGCAACAGCCCTCCCCTTGCTTATAATGGTTTAATGTCCATTTAACTGTGCCATAAAAAGCTCAGTGAGTGTTTATCCTCGTTATTTAAATGTACTTCAAGACCCAGCTTACTGCTCGTTGTGCAGTCCTATTCTTTCTCCTCACAATTAGACCGTCATCTGTGTTTTGTCGTGCAGGAGTCCTGATTGGAGCTGCGAATCAGTTTGAAGCTTGTCGTGTAGCACCATATGTCAACGTGGGGGCTTTAAGGATGCCATTCCAACAGGCAAGTCACTTTGAAGCGTCTAGTCTTAAACCAGACCGGTCCTCTCCCCCCTTCCTCCCCCTACTCCCGCCCCCGACTGGTGTCCTGGCACAGTCTGTCATGCAGAGACTCCAGTTACAATCCAGGGGGTAACTAAAAGTCTTATTACCACACCGGCAAAAACCCTGTGCCAACACAGCGTAGCTTAATTGGAATACTCACCCCATTTTTTTCTCCCCTCGTCTTCTCCATCTATCTTACTGGAGTAAAAGCAAAACAAAACAAAACAAAAAAACTTATAGGACAAGTATTTGAAAGTGTATATTTCTGGCACAAGCAACTTCAGAAAAATTGCCTTATCAGAACTTGAAATTGAACAATGTTCTATAAGAGACATTGTTAAGGCTTTTTTTTTTTTTTTACTATAATCTCTGTGTGGGGGACTGTGATTAAAGACTAAAGGGACATTGTAATTTGTGCTAACATTCATGTTTTAAAGACGTTAAAAGTGTTTTATTTATTTTTTTATTACATCCTGTTGTTTGTTCGAATACAATTTTTTATTGTTTGCTGACTAATCGGTGATGCAACTTCTAAATATAACTCAGTAATAGCCTCTATACAAGATCTAGCCACACCATATTACAGCGGAGTGCAATTAAGATGGTCTAATGGAGTTATGAGTATAGTCTCACTAGTGAAAATGAGCCTTCAGTCAACCCACTGCAAAGTTAACGCATGTTCTCCCCCTTCTCTCCCCACCCCGTGCGTCCCGTAGGATAGTCATTGCAACGTGCCGCCCTTCTCCTTTCAGGTGCAGGCGCAGCTCCAGCTGGACAGCGCCGTGGCCCACGCGCAGCACCACCTGCACTCTCACCTGGCGGCGCATGCGCCCTACATGATGTTCCCCGCGCCGCCGTTCGGTTTGCCGCTCGCGACCCTCGCGGCTGAGTCCGCCTCCGCCGCCTCCGTCGTGGCCGCCGCGGCGGCCGCCAAGAACACCAGCAAGAACTCCAGCATCGCCGACCTGAGACTGAAGGCCAAAAAGCACACGGCCGCCCTGGGACTGTGACGCCAGGGAGACCCGAGGACACGAGGCGTGGGCGCCCCGCGGCCTCGCCGGTGACGCCGAACAAAAAACAATTTCGAAGTGAAAAAAAAAAAGAGACAAAAAAATATCCACGGACAAAGTGAGATAAAAAAGTATCGGTGGACGTAATTTATGTTTTCTTAATGAAGGAGGACGAGAATAAATATAGATTATAGGCTATTTATGAGATAAAGACACGAAGATGAAGAAGACTGAGACGCGATAGCCTACACAGACGTGATTTTTGGACGCAAAAAAAAATGGCGGACGGGGTGGACGACGTCCTCCCGCAGCCGAGCAGGCCGGCGGGACACCCCGCCGACGAGGAAGAGGAGCATGCAGCTGGGTCGGTCGATTCTTTGTCAAACAAGGCGAACCAATCTGCATTCGTTTTTTTTTTCTGTTTTAATGTTATAATATTATTATTATTATTATTTGTGTTTTTTTTTCAATATAGAGGCTGGCCTCATAATATTTCAAAAACACTTTCTCTGCAAAAGGACAGAGCGGGAATTCTTTGACAAAAAAGGGACAAAAAGACAATAATTTACAGAGAGAAAGGAGATGTCCTTCCAACTCTGTTTCTTGTCCGATTTGAAAATGCCTCTGCAGTGTTTGCATGAGTTCGTGAGCCATCACCCCCCCCCCCCCCCACTCCTCACCCGTCTTCCTCTGTCTCCTCACCCCTCTCTCCCCCTTCCCTCCCTTCTCAGAGGAAGGGCACCTCTCGCTTGAATGTTTGGCCTATCTGACCTTGTTTGGACCTCTTGTAGAAAAGGTGAAACGGGCAATACGCCAGATATGTGAGCTTGTACAACGTGTAGGCTGAGCGTTTAAAAAAAAAAAATCAGAATTCGATCTAGTGTCCACATTTGGCGATTTGCTCCCCTTTTAGAGGAGTACAGTATGCCTTGAACACCATCCCTCCCACAGTCAACAAATGAACACACTGCAGTTAACACGAGGATTGTAAAACGAACCGGTACGGGCACGTGTAAGATATGTTTATACACCAGAAACATGCATTATTTTTTATTATTTAGTGGCTGTCTGAATGCCTTTGTGGGGAGTTTGTTCATTTTGTATTTTACTTTATTTCCGTGTATTAAAAAACCATGTGCTTTCTGTATGTAATTTTGATGTTTTTATAACGATGAAATGGAGCTCACTCGTGGCACAGGTTTCCTAAAAAAACAGAAAAAAGAAAATTCATGCAGTTGTTTTCCAATTTTTTTTTTCCATCACATGTGAAACGTGAATCCACCTTAAGCAAAATGTTTTTTCGTTCCTATAATAAATTAACTAAAGTTTCTCTAATGAGTTGACATAATTTTTTAATGATTCAGCCAATTAATTATTACTAATATTGTTATCGTTATTATTGTTGATGTTGTTGTCAGTAAAGCTTTGAAGGCAATAGATTTTTAATAATTCATGCCTCCAGCTGAAGGTCTTTTGATAACGTCACCGTTGTGACAGGCCCGTTTAGAGGCGAACATTGGTGTCTGTTGCTGCGCTCATGCCAAACTGATGCATTATTCATAGTTTGGTTATGGAGGGTTTGTTGAGGAGGACTCGTAATTTCCCATACAAGCTAAACAGGCTGATAAAGGAGGCTATTCAGTGACACACAGATAAAAATTTCCCAGCATTTAAAATGCAAACAGTTATGTCTTTGTTATTACTTTTGGGCTATTTTAAAACGTCTTAGTTATTATTGCAGGAAATTAAAACCTTCCGCGTCCAACAGCTGTTTCCAAAAGTATAATAATTGCTCGATATAAATATAAATATAGATGGGATTTTAATTTTAAATATGCCAAGTGTTGTTTTATCCGTTTCAACTTGTAAAACTAAATCATAGTAATAAAAAAAACTGTAATAGCCACCATCCTAATCCACTTTACAAATTGGATTTGGTATTATAAGTAATCATAATACCGAATCATTGCTAAATAATCAAACAGAAAGGGAATGTGAATGATTTGTATTCCTTCAAAATTCAAATGTATGTTTTTCTATTTTACTCAATAAGATAGAAAAAATACTAATTGAATCCTCACTCACTTGACTTACAAATTTGCTGTTTCATTTCCTGACATCTTAACCTTTCTCTTATTGAGCATTTAATAAACATCTGACACGGGAGCCTGCAATTATAGGAATCCGGATCACGTTACCCCTTCCGATATTTCCACACAAAACACAATGTCTTTAGCTATTAATTAATACTGATCTCACCGAGTCTCCACAATAGTCTGGAGTGTTTGTGTATCTTGGCGTTTGGGGCAGGATTTCGACGCCAAAACTATTGAATTATTGATTCTGGGCCCCGCCAGTAATGGAGGAGACGGAACTGGGAAACTGCTGAGCCCGGCGCGCACGTGCTGTCCTGCAATGGAACTGGAACACTGGAACTGAAACTGGGCGCACTGGTCCCGCCACCGTCCCAGTCTGAAAGGGGAGCGGATGCAGCGAGGACTGGTGGAGTTTTTACGCCCAAAGCCCACGGAGTGAGGTCAAGTCTGCATTTTGTTACACCCACTCCTCTGATATTACACACATATCTGATATTTCATGTTGGAAAAGTTAGGCCTTGATCGTATATTTCTTTAAAAACATTTGTTTGAAGCTCAGGAAAAGTGAGAGGAAATTTTAAAATTCCAGGAACTACAAGTGTCATTGAACTTTTATGACACCAAGAAAGTTGAATGTAAATATGGCAGTGAGGGCTTTTTCCGTTTGACATGTCTTACAGGACTTATTGACCCAAATGAAATAATGTCCCCTGTGTTTCAGCATTTCCACAATGGACATTCTTCATGAGTCTTGGGAGTCTGTTGTTGCGGAGTGGCCCATCAGCTATCAGCATGTCCTGAGGTGTAGTGCTGGAGAGGAGGGTCTCTGCTCTGAGGGGCTCGGGAGACAACTAGACGGGGACACACAAGTGGTCCGATTAGACATGGAGACAAGCAGAGCTCGCACTCTCCTCTCAACACACTCTTAAGACGCACACCCCCGCGCAGCCAGCCGGGAGCCAGCCTTCTTCTCACAGCCTATTTCACTTGCTTGCTTCCCCCCGGCTTTCCTCCACCCTGTCTCTCTCTCTTCTCTCTCACTCACACACACACAAGTATACACACACACACACATGGATTATTGTGCACTGAGCTGGTTGAGTCAAGAGGAGGCCAATTATACCCATTATACTAAAGTTAATCAATTGAAAGAAAACAGTAGTGGACACACGAATACAAATGCATGCCAGTAAATTTAGACACCTACACACACACATGCACACACACACACACACACAGAGATCTACATAGTCTGGTGAGTCACAACAGCACTCGACACCATGGAATCCTTCATATCAACTGGTGCTGTCTTGTTGCTATATTTACCCCACTACAACCCCTGAGACAAATACACTACTCTCTCATTTCCCGCACTTGGCTCTTTATCAAATTAAGGCATGTTAAACAATCAGAGAGCAGTTTTTTTACCGACAGCAGAGGCAATGTTTTCAGCCTCTCTGAGCAACTGTAACCGAACGCCTCATATATGGTTGTTTGTGAGAGTGCTGGTGCGTGGATAACTTTATGTGAGAACATATGAGAGAGAGAGAGAGAGAGCTCCCTTTCTCTTCTTTTCTCTCCAAGGGCTTGCGTTTGTAACATGTTAGGAGTGCTCAAAGAGCCGGGCACACACAGCACTGCACCAAAGACAACAGCCATCAGGAGCAAAGGCAGATAAAAAGCCCGACTTCAAAGACATCAAATCGAGCGAAAGTGAGAAAGAAACCTGCTGAAAACTCCCTCCAATAGCACTCAGGCCGGCAATTACGACGCCATATCACTTGCCTGTTATCACATGCGAGCACTGCACAGGCCTGGGTGGCTAACCGCAGCACTCAGTGTGGGTTGCAGTCAACAGAGAATTACAGCATTTATAGTGCTCGACTGCAACACTGTATTTAATTTCACTGTAGGATGAAAAGTGGGTGTGCACACGGATTTGACCCCTGCTACGACCACAGAGGCTTAACCATGGTGATTACAGACACAGAAAAACAACAGTCTGTATCTCCAGCTCCTTCTATTCACCAGCTAAGTAGAACAAAACAAAACAGAGGTCAGAACAAAACAAGAAGTCTAATTGTTTCACTGTTTCCTGTTTAGGTGCCCCAGGGCAATCTACACATTTTTATGTGCTGGGCGCATTTTATTTGTTATTAATTCATTTCCAGTTGCAGCTGGTTTGCAGATTAGAGAGATAACATAATGTATAACTCCCTGCCCTGGGAAGAAGACATAACAAGGCTCTATGTGTTGAGACCTGTGGCATTAGTAACCCTGGGGGGATTTGATTGTTTTCATCCAAAAAAGGTGACATTTGGTGTGTGGTGGATGCACTGGGGGGTGACTTTGTATGCATTTCTGTGTGTATAGTTTCATGCGTGCATCATGTTCTCAGGGTGAAAGAGTGTGAGAGAAAAATGAAAGGCAGAGAGCCGGAGAGAGGGAGAGTGATGAGGGGCACACAGTAAATGTTAAACATTTGGCCCGTGCCGCTCTGTATTTACAAGCTGGTAAGATCCTATCATCTGTGTGTGAGTATAATCGAGTACTTGCTTTTCAATCATCAGATGTTTGTACACAGATTCTAAAATTACAAAAAGCCTTTTGGAAACACAGCCCTAACTCATCTCATATTGATTGCATTCACGCCGTCTGAAGTTTACAAAATGCCATTTTGAAATGTCATGAAATTACGAAAAAAGCTGACAAATCACCCAATATTTGTATCAGGATGCTCAAGTGTCTTTTTAATGTGGGTAAATCCAGGGAGGTCTATGGTCTATCATTCCTGGGTTAAGTGCTTTTTCAACATTGTGTCCAGGGAGCCATTTATGACCATTTATATATCTGTCAACGGCATTCAAATGCTCTCTGAACTGGTGACAGACATGTGTGGTCAAA